CCACCCAGCCAAAGCCCAAAGTGATTGCTTGGGCTTCTAAACTCCCATAACCTTTTGTTCATACCTCTTAAAAACTGAGTCTATTCTCCATTTGTTATCTGGCACAAGTCATATCTCCCCAATAAACTTCCTGAGGGCAGCAGAGACAGTATTATTCATTTTGGTAAACCCTCCTATTGCCTTGCACTTAGTAGGCAATTTGTTGCCTACTAATGTTTCTTACTTTAAATGTAATGAAAAATATACTTAATGTTTGTCAAATGAATAATGATATATGATAGATGATACATCATAGGATATACAGAATAATGAAAGAAGATTATTATAGGAGAGTAGGTTTACTACTAGTAGTACTAATGCTTATTATTACAGGGCTAGGTTATCTTAGAAGATAATAATAATAATAGCTTGCATGTATTTAGCATTTTAAGGTTTGCAAAGTGCTTTACAAATATTATGTCATTTGAGCCTTAAAACAATGATGGCAAATAGGTGCTATTATTATCCCCATTATACAGTTAAGGAAACTGAGCAGAGGTTAAGTGACTTGCCCAAGGTCACACAGCCAGTCCGTGTCTGGGGCTGGATTTGAATCCAGGACTTCCTGACTCCAGGTTCAGTGCTCTATCCACTGCACCACCTAGATACCTCTGGTTGTTTGCTAGGTGACTCATGAAAGATAATCTGGACTTTCCACACTTTGGGGAGGTCTGAGGTGGGAAGAGACGGGGAGAGATAATATGTATGGTCTGCAGTTCCTGGGCATCAGAGAGCTGGGTGTCGGTGAGGTAATTTGACCCTGCTTACTTAAAGAGTCTCTAACAGTCTGGATTCTTTGAGAATCAAGGGATTCTTTTACAAAAAAGATTATTCTACTTAAGAGTTAGTTCTAGATTAAGTGACCCCTTTACTTACAAGTTAATTTCAATACCTTGAAATAAAAGAATACTAAAATATTTTCTTGGATCAAATTAAAAGCCACAAAGTGGCAAATTTCAGGGAAGCCAACTAGATATTCCTCCTGCCAGTCTAACAATATATAATTAAGAATCATCAAGTTGATTATGCTTTTCCATTGCTAGGATTTCTGCCTGAAAAATATCATCCAAAATATTCAAAAGCTGCTTTATCTGAAATGATGAAAAATAGGATCTCAGGAAGAATGACTAAATAAATTATGACACAGTAATTCGATGGGATACCATGGCAGTGTAAAACTGACCAATAGGAAGAAATTTAAAAAGAAGCTTTGAGGAACTCTTGAGAATTTTGAAAGACGTATAAAGTGAAAGAGGGCACAATCAGAAGAAAGAGAAAGGCAGACACTGAGAGCAAATTTTTTTTTAAGTAACAGCTTTCTAACCCCCTAGACTGGACTCTTTACAGGGACTTAGGACAAATATAATTGTTTTTGCTTTGTTAAAATGTGTTATAATATTAATCCAACTGAATACCCACTTAGGACAGTGAGCTCCTTGAGAGCCAAGATTCTCTTGTCTGTTTGTATCTATGTGTATACAGTAAGCACTTAATAAGTGCTTCACACACACACACACACACACACACACACACACTCATTCACTATGCTCTAATACAGCTGTTACCAAGGCAAAAAGCAAAAGCATTTTGGCCCTAGAGGAATTTCCACCCTGCTTCTGGGAGGAGGGGCAGATAACATGACCATAGACAAGCAAAAACAAAAGAAAAATCCTGAAAAAGCCCTTTAAGAATATCTGAGGAGGGGAAGAAAAGGGCACTTTCAGCAAAAAATTAGGGCATTGTTACTTGGAAGAAATGGTTCTTGATTTAAGCCTTGAGGGAAGAAAAAAATCAGAAGAGTCTAGGAGGAATGAAACAGAGTATAGAAAAAAGTGTCAGGGGCAGCTAGGTGGTGCAGTGGATAGAGTACCGGCCCTGAAGTCAGGAGGACCTGAGTTCAAATGTGATCTCAGACCAAACACTTGATACTTACTAGCTGTGTGACCCTGGGCAAGTCACTTAACCCCAATTGCCTTTAAAAAAAAAAAGAAGAGTCACATCAAATAAAATGAGATTGTGAAGGGCCTTGAATGCCAGCCTCAATCAGTACTTTCTCCTAGAAGCCATACGGATTTACTGAAGGCTTTAGAGCAGGGGAGTGACATAGCCAATCCCATGTTTTAGGAAGATTTCTTTGGCAACTACCAGGAGGATTACCTGGAGAAAGGAGAGTCTACTTAGGAATCTCTTAGATTTTCTTTCTTTTAATCCAAATGCTGCCAGTTCAAATCACAGGAATGTAGTTTTTTGTTTTATTTTGTTTGGAGGGGGGGAGGTTACCTCATATTTGAATTGTTAGTATTTGCTATGAATGTTACCTTTTTTAAACTTCAGTAAACAGAGAACTGGAAATAAATCTGCTACTTTTGTTACTCACTCTACAAAAAGTTTGCAAGCCCCTACTCTATGTAATGAGTACACAGGGTAAAGCTACAGAGAACTCGAGTTTAACTCCAGCCTCAACCATTTGACCATTTACTACCTCTCAGGGCTCAGTTTCCTCAAGTGTGAAATAAAGAAGCTGGGCCAAACTTGGTCTAAGTGCCCTTACAGCTGGAAATCCATGATGCTATATACCCCATGGCAGTCCTTTTAGAGCTATGTGTGAAACAGAAGCCTAAATGAGCACCAAACCAGAGCTAGGATAGGGGATGATAACAAAGACAGCACAATAGCTGTTGTTTATTAGCACCGATATTAGCTTTAAAGTTTGCAAAGCACTTAACATAGCTGGTCCTCAAAACAGCCCTGCAAGTTGGTGGTATTTTATTTCCATTTTACAGATGAGGAAACTGAGTCAGTGAGTCCACTAGCATTTAGTAAACCCCTATTATATGCCAGACACTGTGCTAAACCCTGGACTGAAAGAGGTTAAGTAACTTGCCCAGGGTCACACAGCTAGGAAGTTATCTAGGGAAGGATTTATATTCAGATCTTCCTGCCTCCAGCACCCTATCTACTATACCACCTATTGGCCACAAATAGTCAGGAGAGCCCACTCTCTAGGACAGTTTAGCTTCTGACAATTTCTCTAAGTTGACAGTCATACACAGTTCCAGTAATGAAAACAACTTAAGTTTTTAACTACAACTATTCATGGTTCACAGTACTTTCAGCTTACACATTCTCAAGAAACCTGGCAGTAAGGTAGTGCAAAAGGATTATTAGTCCCATTTAACAGATGAAGGAAACAGACTCATTGACCAAAGGTCCCATAGCTCATGTGGAACAGTAGAGACAAGGATTATTGCCCGTTGAGTTCAAGACCAGTATTCTTTCAGTTACAACACCTATCAAACTCTGTCCAAGACCACCCTAATTCCACACAATTAAGTCACAAAATATCCATGGTTAGCCACCCTTGGCACACACAAAGGCTATGACCAAAAGGAGAGGTAGTGGGCACCGAGCACGTAAGGTCAGATGATATTAAGGGTGGGTCCTTCTTCCTCAGAAGGATCCTGAGAAATAACATTCCTGCAATTCGACCACTTTTTTTTAAAGTACCCAACCCAGCTTCCAGAATTTTCAACTCCTGGCTCTCTTGGATTTTAGCTCCCTTTGTTTCTTTGGAATTGCTTTGGGAGTTGTTTAAAAGGGAGAGGACCTGCAATACCAGAGATCCACACCTCCCCTTCTAACGATTCTTAAAGTATTACACCTTCCCAGTAAGGAATATTTTGAAAAGACTGAAGGCATTTCCTCCCATTTTCTCCAGGAGGGGTAGGGACTTTCAAGCTCATCCCGGGTAACTACAGATGAGGCAGGAGGCCCAGGTGAGCTCGCCCAAGCCCTGTGACATGATTCCCTTTTGGTTCCAAAGCACAGACTGGCCCTCTGGTTTCAGGAGGCCAGTGGATCATCACCCCCACCGCCAATCCTCACCTGAGGAAAAATTCTCAGGGGAAAGTATCCATAAGCTCACACACAGAGAAATGTAAGGGGCCTCTAATCCCCTCATTGTACAGAGAAGGAAACTGAGGCTTTAACGCCTTGGATTGGCTTAGATCAGAAACACAGCAAGAGCAGGAACTAGAGCCCAGCTGCTCCCCAGGACCATGCTGCCTGCCCCCAAACAAGGGCACAGCCTTTCTCCTAGGCAGAGCGACTCTATCCAAGCCGGGAGACATTCCAACTGGGCTATCCCCCAGGGAAACGTTGTGAGAGCACAATAGTCAGGGCCAGCTAACCTGCCCAAGCAGGTGCAGGTACAGAGGGCCACAGACTCCCCTAAAGACTTCAGGGAGGTCCCAAGTCACTTAGTCCTGCCTCCTCTCTCGAGCTGGTGACGGTGGCCGGACTCCGTGGAAACAGCCCTGTGGCTACGCCCCCCTCCCCACAAGCTCTCACACTCTAGTTGGACAGCCCAACAGCTTCCTTCCCCCACCCACCACCCTTAGGTGTCGGGGGTCCAGCACCCTCGAGCCGCTCACCTAAACGCCCCCTCCCCGCCTCCAGCCCCTCTAGCTCAACGGGACAGAAATATTTCCTCCCTCCAGCTCCGGGGAAGAGCAGTGGCACCAACCCCCTCCAAAAAAAAAAAAAAAGCTCAGCAAAAGGGTACGTGTTACACACACCCCACCAAGCAAAAAAAATAACTCAGGACAAGGGTAAAGGCCAGACCCCCTCCCCTGAAGGAGCTCGGGAGGACCAAAGGCTAGACCCACCCTCAAAAGGGATCTCCGAAGAGGAGCACCGGCTTAATTCCTCCACACGCGTAGACAGAGAGGGTAGCACCAGGTAACAGCTCCCCCACACCATGAAGTGAGAAAACCGCACGAACACCGCACGGGACTGGGGGGGTGGGAGAAGGGGAGGGGAAAGGCATTGGGGGGGAGAGGAAGGAATTCAGGGGGAGGGGGGGAAGGTCCCAGCCGAGGGGGTAAGGAACGGCAGGGCTGGCACCCTCACCCTCAGGCACTCCCCCTCGCCCCGCCCCCCGCGGCCCCCGGGCCACTGACCGATGGACACGAGCTTGATGCTCTCCAGCTCCAGGAACTCGAGCGCCACGGACACGTTCTCCAGCTGCATCTGGCGGAAGGTAGGCCGCTGGTGGTACTTGCGGTACATGCGCTTCTGGCTGAGCACCTCGAGCAGCGCGATGAGCCGCAACCCGTCGCTCAGGTCCGTCTGCAGGTTGCCGATGCGCTTGTTCACGCACTTGAGGTGCTCGTTGCACCAGCGCGTGAACGTGTTCTGCTGGATCTTCTTCCACGGCGCGTCCTCGGCCAGGTCCTTCTCGGTCACGGGCATGTCGGCGGCCGGGCGAGGCAGGGCGATGCTGCGGCGGACGCGCGATGCTGGTGCGGCTGCGGCTGCTCAGGCTCGGGCTCTGCTCGGCTCGGGGGCTCCGCTCGGCTCCGCTGTCGGCGCTCTCTGCTGCCCCGCAGCCCCGGGTGTGCGCCCTGCCTGGCCCCGCGCCTGCGCCGGCCCTCCCCGGCTGCTAACCTCAGCTCCTCCTCCTCCACCTCTCCTCCTGCTCCTCCTCCTCCTCTTCTCCGCCTTTCGGGGCCTCTAGTTCGCTGGCCAGCCGTCTCCCTCTGCCGCCCAGGCCGGCTCACTGCTGCCTGCCGCGTCCAGTCCCGGGACTCCGACAGCGGCGCTAACTTCTGCGCCTCCGCCCTCTGATCACCTAACTAGCTAGCTACCTGCGGGCGTCCTCGATGGCCCCTCCCCTGGCGGAGACCAATGGGGCCATCAATTCAGCACGTACTGAACGCCTACTATCTGCCGGGCTCTGGGGAGACAAGGACAAAAACGGAACTGAACTGCGAGGCGAGGCTCCAAGGTGAGCTGCTCCGAGTCAGACTTTGCTGGGTCAGGAGATCAGAGATATTTGGAGGCATGGATTTAACCCCACTGGACTCCTTAACCCCTGAGCTGCCTCCCAGCTCCAGAGCCTAGTAATCCGTTAAGCAAAGATCTTTGCCTTTGCTAAATGTTATTCGGTCCTTCATTTATTCATTCAACAAGCATGTATGTACTATGTGCTGTGCCAAGGGCCTGTGCCAAGTGCTTCCGATTCACTCCATTTATTCATTCAACAGGCACGTATTAAGTGCCTTCTGTGGTGAGAGGCAGTGTGGTGTACTGATTAGGAAAGGCCCGGGTTCAAGCCCTGCCTCTGACCCACAAGTGCCAGGGTGTTGCCGGGCAAGCTCCTTCTCTTCTCACTGCTGTGGGCCACTCTCTAAAAAATTACCTGCATTTGTAGAGGGAATTTCCTCACTTGGGAGTTCCCTAATTCAAAAGAAATCACTGCTCCAGTCCCTAATCTTACTAGTACTAGGCTGGGGGCCTGGGATCATTCCTTCATTCAGAAGCTTTATTAAGTGTATGCTAAGTACCAAATTCTAAACTGGATGCTTGAGATAAAAAGACCAAAAGCATAGTAGCCCCCATCCTCAAGGAGTTTACATTCTTTATTTTTTTTTTTTTTTGCGAGGCAGTTGGAGTTAAGAGGCTTGTCCAGGGTCACACAGCTAGTGAGTATCACCTGTCTGAGGCCGTATTTGAACTCAGGACTTCCTGACTCCAGGGCTCTCTCCACTGTCACCTAGCTGCCCCAGGAGTTTACATTCTTGCAAGGGAGTAAATATAGGCAACTTAGAAGGCACTAATAACTATGGGGATCAATTCCTCATTTGATAAGAAGATTTAAGAAACTCAATTTGCAAGATTAAATGATTTGTCTAAGGTCATCCCATATTAGGAGTCTGGACACCTGGTCTCCTATCCCAGCTGTCCATCCATGTTACTCACAAAGGACATTTCATCTCCTGACTTAACCACTTTGTGGCTCAGTTTCCTCATCTGTAAAATGAAGGTGTTGGACTGAATGGCCTTTAAAGGCTCTTCCAACTAAAAGGCCTTTCCAACCTCATCATTCAACTTTCACTTTCCGAAGCATTCATTGCCATATCTAATGGCCTTTTCTCAGTCTTCTTCATTTCTTAACTCTTTTGGAGCCTCTGACCCTTTGAATCACTCTTCTCTCTGAGTTTTTAAGACACTCCTCTTTCCTGGTCCTCCTCCTACCTGACAGCTTCTTTCCAGTCCCCTTGCCTGGATCTTCATGCAGGCTTGCCCACTAATGGTGCTGTCCCCCAAGCCCTCTTCTCTCCCTCTATGTTATTTTGCTTGGCAAGCTCATCAGTTCCCATGAATTCAATTATCATCTGTATGAGGATGATTCTTGGATCTATTTGTGCAGCCCTCTCTCCTGGCCACGAATTCTTCCTAACTTCCTGCTCACTGTAACACCACCATCCTCCCAGTCACCTAGGCTCACAATCCTGGATTCGTCCTTCCTGCCTGTCACCCTCACCCCACATATCCAATCTGTTGCCGTGTCTTTTTCTTTCTGTTTTCACAACTTCTCTCGTATATGTCCCCTTTTTCCCATTTCTATCACGTAGCCCCTACCCTGATGCAGACCCTTATCACCTCATGCCTAGACTATTTCAAGAGCCTTCTGGTTGGTCTCCCTTCCTCAGATCTCTCCCCACTATAGTACGTCCTCCATTCAGCTGCCAAAAGTTCTCTTGCTAGTGCCCAAGTCTGACTATATCATGCCCTCTACTTCAAACACTGATGGCTCCCTATTACCTCCACCATGAAACAGAAAATCCTGTTTGGCTTTTAAAGCCCATCAAAATCTCGCCCCTTCTCATCTTTCCAGTCTTCTTACACTTTACTCCCCTCCACATATGCTATAAGTGGCCTTCTCAATATACCTCTCCCCACTTTGTGAGTTTTCACTATCTATCCCCAATACCTAGAATGCTCCCCCTTCTCACTTCCAGGCTTCCTTCAAAACTAAACTCAGTCCCATCTTTTGCAAGAGGTCTTTCCCTGATTGCATCCTATTTATACACTGTATACATCTTATTTGTACATAGCTCTTTGCATATTGTTCTTCATTAGACCATGAACTCTTTCAGGGCAGGGAGGGGCTATGTTTTTTGCCTTGGATTTCTGATGTTTAGCTCTGTGTCTGGCATACAGTAGGTGCTTAATAAAAGCATTTGATGAGAATGATGAGAATGCTCATGTTGAGGATGATGGCTTGTCTTGCTTCTCTGATTTGTCCTTTGGTATGTCCTTTTACGATGCAACACATAGCATTACTTGGAGAATACTAGGCTTTTTCAGTTGGGTAACACCTAAACAAATTATGTCACACGAATGTGATGAAATATTATTGCACCATAAGAAATGATAATATGAGGAATTTATAGAAACATGGAAAGATTTATGGGAATTGATGCTGTATGAAGTCAGCAGAACCAGGAAAACGATATATACCATAACTACAAATGGAAGCTGAGCTTTTGTGATTCTAAGCTGCTCATTGCTACAAAAGCCTCTCTCTCTCTCTCTCTCTCTCTCTCTCTCTCTCTCTCTCTCTCTCTCTCTCTCTCTCTCTCTCTCATTTTTATTATCATTTGTCTTACATCATTTGCCTTCATTTCCAAATAACTCCCTTCCATCCCTTGTAACAAAGATTAAAAATGAATGAGAAAAAAAAGGCATGTCATCAAAACCAATCCACATATCGACCACGTCTGATAGTACATGCAGTGTTCCACAGCCACGGTCCTTCACTTTTGCAAAAAAGGGAATGAGATGTATTTTCTTTTTTATTCTCTGCATTTGGAAATATTCATGTTTCTTGATGAGTAAGCTTTTAATAAAAAAAAAAAGTTTGGGTTTTTTTTTTTTAACGACTCTCAAGATTCCAATCAGAGTATTGGTTGGAGGATGGTGTTATCCTTAGCAGAAACAATTTCCAAAGTCTTTGCCAGTTCTGAAATCTGTGGGCCTTTGCTTCCTGCCTACCAAGAAGTGACAACATTTCTCAGTGTTTGTTGAATTAAATTGAATTGTGGTGGTGTCAAAATTTTAAACAACCCCTTCAGCCACAGTGGGGAGAATCCCAGAAAATAAACTTCTTTGAAGTCAGTATAAACAGAGAGGCAGCTTCCCTCAGCAAGAACTCCCACATTTACAAACATTAGGCAGGTAGATGCCAAAGAGGAAAAGAAGAAGAGATGTAAAAACAAACATTGATCAAAAGGTTTAAATACCAGCCTCTTGCTTTTAAATTCTAGGGAAAGGGGACTTGAACTCTCTTCGGGCTTCACCACTTCTCCAAACTGTTTCCCCACATTGGAAGTTTCAAGAAACCTCAGGATAAGGCTGTTTTCAAGGTCAAGGCTGTGGGACACACCTCTTCATAGATAAACCCATAGGTTGGCAAGATTCTCTCTGGTGGCATCCAAGAGGAAATCTACCTTAGCCTGAACATTGATCTATGAAATATGTTCTTATAATAACCCAATTTCCAAAGGATTTTATAACATACAGCACAGTGATTCTCAAAATTTTTTGGTCTCAGGACCCTTTTACAATCCTAATTATTGAGGACTCCCAAAGAGCTTTTTGTTTATTTGGATTCTCTCTCTCTCTCTCTCTCTTATCTGCATATGTATATATGTGTATCTACATATATGTGTCTCTATGCATACTTAAGAGGCAGCTAAGTGGCTCAGTGGATAGAGTACAAGGCCTGGAGTCAGGAAGACCTGAGTTCAGATCTGGTCTCAGACACTTACTAACTGTATGACCCTGGGCAAGTCACTTTACCACCATTTGCCCCAATCCACTGGAGAAGGAAAGGGCAAACCACTCCAATATCTTTGCCGAGAAAACCCCATAGAATGTGTTGGCATGCTAAGATCCACAGAGTCATAAAGAGTTAGACACAACTCAACAACAACAATGTGTGTATACACATCTATTCTATTTTGTATATTAAATTATCTTAAATTAACATATCTTAGTATTATGAAAATAGTTTTGACCTCATGGACACCCAGGGCTCCACAGACCATGCTTTGAGAGTTGCTGCCACAGAGAAGCCCAGAGTTCAAGCTGGGAGGGAGTTTAGAAATCCCCCAGTCCTGAGTTCTTGACCTTCCTTGAGTTTGTGTGTGTGTGTTATGACCCTTGGGTTGGCTAGTGAACGCTATGGAACCCTTCTCAAGCTAATGTTTTTTCAATAATTGAAGGAGAAGCTAAAATGTTCTTAGGCGTTGGTGAAAATAATAAAGATGCAGTTTTTTTCCCCCTTCAAGTTCATAAATACCCTGAAATCTATCCACAGACCTGCAACTCAAATTTCCTGATCTAGTCTAACCCACTAGTCTCACAGATCAGGAAACTGAGGCCCAGAGAAGTAAAGGGACTTAACCAAAGTCATACTGGCAGCACGAAGTTGAGGTAGGCTTCAAACCCAGCTCCTCTGACTCAAAAGCCAGCCTTTTCCAACTCTGCCTTTCAAATAATAATAACTGACCCGTGGTCTTTTTACAATGGGTGACAGGAAAAGAAGAGGGCTGGTCACCTGGGAGAGCAACAGATGAGAGGAGGAAAGAGTGGCCCTGTAAGGTGGGCAGAACTCTTTACCTATGTAATCTTATTTATTTAGCCTTTTTTTTTAATTCAGAAAGAAAGATTTTATTGTAATTTTCTTAATCTACTGTGCAAAAAAAAAGTTTTTATAATATTAAACCCATTCATAAGTTTGTAAATGATATTCACATTAAAGGCATTCAGCAACTGAAATATGTTACCCCCCTTTGGTGACACTCTAAGAAGTTAAAAAGACAAATCACTATGTTTACATTTTTGTACAAGATCACAAGAGGATTTCTTTTTTTTTTAGTGAGATCTGATTTCAATTGGTTAGCTAGATAGCAGCCAGTATCACTGTTCATTCGCCACACTGGTTATGTTGTTACTCAGGTTAGCTCTGAAAGCAAGTTTGAATAAAATCTTCAGATGTAGATTAGTTCTCCCATCAAATGCCTGACACTGTTGTGCTCGTAAACTTTTAAGACACATAGAATGAGGCCTCCTAGCAGTATTCAGTTGTAGTACCCTCAGACAGGCTCTGCCTTTTTCTGGCTAACCAGGGATGTGTGATGTAGGCTTCTTGGGAATCCCCCATCTTCTCCAGAAACCTCAAACAGGTATACTGTGCGAATAGCAAGCCTGACCTGTGGAAACCAGTGTCTGTCTGCCACTTGGCATCTGGCCAGGCTGCTCCATGCAACCATTGCATGCATTTTCACTCTGATGTTGAGTGTTCACATTATCCCCCATCCATTCTGCATGGTCTTCCTGGTTTCTGAAAAACCTCCGGATGTCATATGCCACTGTGTTCTCTCCAGCACTCGATGACTCATTCCTGGTCCTGTTGTTTTGACCTTTACAGCTAAAGTGAGCAGCCTGCATGTCGTCTGGCTCCTTGCTCTGGGGCTAGTCCCACAACTGAGTTTCTATTTCAGTGGTTGATTCTTCCTGACATGCTTGAGGAGACAACAGGTTAAAAGTGCCACAGACATCAACAGGATGATGGCAAACATATAATGGAGGTGATCATAGCAACTTAAACCCCAAGGCTTCATACGGGGACAAAGCCTTGCACAATGATGGTCATCTGCCCACCAATCCAGCCTAAGGGCATGGAAGGGCGTGTGGATGATCAGACATGATGGATGGATGGGTGGCTTCAAGAAGCTCTCCAGGTCGTCCACTCTGATAAGAAGAATTCTGTCCCTTAGCATGGGAGCTCTCTGAGGGTGGAGACCATGTTTTCACATTTCTCTGCACCTCCATTACTTAGCATAGTATTTGGCACACAGTAAGCACTTAATAAATTGTCAACTTGATTTGACTTAGAAGAAATTCAACTTCAACAGAATTGTTGATATTAAATTATTTTTTAATAATTGATATTCAATTCTCTTAAACTGGACCTTGATGTAGTTGGTAAAGAAACTTACTCTTGGGGCAGCTAGGTGGTGCAGTGGATAGAGCACTGGCCCTGGAGTCAGGAGAACCTGAGTTCAAATCCAGCCTCAAACACATAACACTTACTAGCTGTGTGACCCTGGGCAAGTCACTTAACCCCACTGCCTAGCCAAAAAAAAGAAAGAAAGAAAGAAACTCACTCTACCGACATCTACAAATGAAGGTTTGCCTCTTTTCTGCACCTTACAACCTCAGAGAGTTGCCTAGAACAATGAGAGATTGACTTGCTCACGGCCACACAGGCAGGATGGGCCAAAGGAGGAATTTGAATCTAGTAGCCAGGAGATGTTAAAGGTGGGTCTTCCTGAGTCTGAGGCCAGATGGACTTGGAGCCAGGAAGACCTGGATTCAAATCCTGCCCTGATCCTTGATAGCTGTAGAATCCTGGGTAAGCCACTTAAGGTGCTGTAAGCATTAGTTTCTTCATCTATAAAATGAGGGGATTGGACTCAGTGGCTTTTAAGGTTCTTTCCAGTTCTAAATCTATGCTCCCATGATCCATTATACACTTATCAAGCACCTACTGTGTGCAAAGCCCCTTGCAAGTCTCTGGGGGAAATACAAGTTTAGATGAAAGCCTGCCCTCATGGAGCTTACAGTGTAGCGAGCCTTATGATGCACAAGTAACTCAAATACAAAAGCATGTATAATAAAGATACAGGAGAATCACAAGTTAATCACCACCTGACATGGAAAAGAGGAGAAACTGACTAAGAGCCAGAAGGGATCTTCAAAGTCATCTAGTCCAATCCCATCATTATACAGATGGAGAAAATGAGGCCCAAGACGGAAGCAACTTACCCAAAGACACATAGGAAGTAAGGAACCCAGCTGGGGAGTGACCCAGACCCTCCATTTACAGAGATACAAAATGAGTCCTTCTGCCATCAATCTCCAGCACTCGGTCCTATTTCCTGGAGACCTCACCCTGGGAGGGTATGTGCCTTCTTATTTCTGACTTTGATGGTATCCACACCCTGTCAAGAAAAAAAAAAAGCAAATAAAAGAGAAACTTAGGTTAGAGAAAGTTGATCCAGGAATGTCCCTGCAGCTCCTTCTACTAGGGATGGGGTGGGTGGGTTGGCTCCCTGAGGCTGGGTTGCTATCCAGAGACTTGTGTTTTTAATTTTATGAGTAAGACAAGAACCCGGGTTACCCAGCTAGAGTTCCCATGACCTTAGAACAAGGGGGCATTAGGTCACCTTTTACTCCCCAGGAGTTGTTCCAGAAGACATTATCATCAAACAAAACCAATGTATCCAAAATTAGAAGGAAAGCAGGAAACTGGGGGGAAATTTTTTCAGCAAATTTCTCTGATAAGGTCTCATTTTTCAAATGTATAGGGAACTCAGCAAAATCTATAAAAATAAATGCCATTCCCCAGTTGATAAATATGGTCAGAATATAAACAGGCAGTTCTCAAAGAAATTAAAGTTATCCATAGTCATATGAAAAAATGCTCTAAAGCACTATTAATTAGAGAAATGCAAATTAAAACAACTCTGAGGTGCCATCTTATACCCATCAGATTGGCTAACATGACAGAAAAAGAAAATGACAGATTCTGGGGTGTATGTGGAAAAATAGAAACACTAATGCATTGTTCATGGAATTATGAACTGATCCAACCATTCTGGAGAGTAATTTGGAACTCTGCCCAAAGGGCTATAAAACTGTGCATACCCTTTGGGCCCAGCAATACCACTAGTAGGTCTGTATCCCAAAGAGATCAAAGAAAAGAGAAAGTCCTATATATATAAAAATATTTATAGCAGCTCTTTTTGTGGTGGCAAAGAATTAGAAATTGAAGGTATGCCCATCAATTGGGGAATGGCTGAACAAGTTATGTTATATGATTGTGGTAGAATGCTATTCTGGTAAGAAATGAAGCTGTAAGAAATTATAAAGGGGATGGTTTCAGAAAAACCTGGGAAGTCTTCTATGAACTGATGCAAAGTGAAGTGAGCAGAATCAGGAGAAACATTGTACACAGTAACAACAATATTGTAAGGATGATCAACTATGAAAGAAATAATTATTCTGATCAAGATGGTGATCCAAGAGAATTCTAAAAGACCCACAATGAAAAAGACAGCTGATGAACTCGGAGTGCAGAGTGAAGCAGACTTTTTTTTTTTACTCATTTTGTTTCTGGCTTTTTATCGTGTGGTTTGTTTGTTTTAACATGAATGATATCGAAATGTTTTGCATTATTTCACATGTATAACTGATGTTATACTGCTTGCTTTCTCAGTGGGGGTGGAGAGGTGGAAAGGAGGGAGAGAATTTGGAACTCAAAAAATATTTTTAATAAATACTAATAAATAATTTGAAAATAGAAAAAAAAGAAGAAAATGCTATAGCATCCACTCTTCCCAAGAATTATCTATTTTATATTTACTTGTGGAACCACACATACCCCCATCTGAGGGCTGATCACTAGTTTCTTCTCTTTCCAAACTGGGAAGAACTACAAATTCCAGGAAGATTGTGTGGCCAGCCAATCCCATCCCATGGGTGGTTATACCTAGATATGGACGTGTGGTCCCCTCTGAGGGAATGGAAGCTTCTCCAGGGCAGGGGCTGTTTCCATCTTGTCTTCATGTCCCCATCACCTATCACAGTACCTGGCACAGTACCTGGCACTCATTTCAGTTGTGTTGACTCTTGGTGACCCCATTTGGGGTTTTCTTGAAAAAGATTCTGCAGTGGTTTGCCATGTCCTTCTCCAGCTCGTATTACACATGCAGAAACTGAGGCTAACAGGGTTAAAGACTTACCCAGGGTCACACAGCTGGTAAGTGTCTGATGCCAGATTTGAACTCATGAAGATGGGTCTTCCTGACTCTGGGGCCAGTACTCTATCCACTGCACCACTTAGCTGCCCACAGCTAATAATATTATGCATGAAATAATGCTTTTCAAACAGGGTCCCAAAAACTCCTAAAGCTCTTTTCTCATCAGATTACCTAAAATTCAGTCTCAGGAGATAATGTGGTAGATTTGTTTCTATAAAAACATCTCCAGGCAGGGCAGCTAGGTGGCACAGTGGACAGAGCGCTGGTCCTGGAGTCAGGAGGACCTGTGTTCAAATCTGGTCTCAGACCAAACACTTGACACTTACTAGCTATGTAAGTCACTTAGACAAGTCACTTAACCCCAATTGCCTAAATTTTTTTTTTAAAGTGCCTTCTAGCTCTAAATCTGTGACCCCACAGAGGTGGTCATTTAAGGCTAGTCATGAAACAGAAGGCAGTTGCCCACAGCAGACAAGATTTTGATGCTGGCCTCCTTTGGTGTTTGCCTTCTTACAGCTGACTCACGCTGGCCAACCTCACATCTCAGGGGTGAGACTAGGCCTGTCAGCTGTCCACTGCTGGTCCAGCGGTTAGGAACTGTGGACTGAAGAAGTTATTCCCACCTCCCTTCTGTCCAAGGAAGAGGCTAAGGGCAGGAGTGGGACACCAGTGCACCACCCAAAAATCAGAGGGGGGAGGGGAGGGCTTTGGAGGAATAAAAAATGAGTTTGATGTAAAAAAAAAAGGTTTGATGAAAAACAGTATCAACATCTGGGCCCCAGCCAGATGCAAGAGGTGCTGATGGGGGAGCATGCCTTTTCTGCCTCCCTCCAACACTTCCATTCAGGTGCTTCTTCCCAATTAAGGCTCTGCAAACTTCCCTTCTGAATATTTTTGACTCTTTTTAAAGCTTATCACCCCTCCCAGGCACTCCCAGGAAGAAACTTTGAATTTCTGTTTACTGTTCCTCCAGTTAACTAGCCTTCCTTGCTACATTGAGCTTCAGAAAAAGAAAGCTGAGTGAGAAAAAAAATAATCTGGGACAAGGCATTTATTTACCAAAAGAACCTTCTGGGGTTTGTCCCCATTCAGTCTGACTCCTAAGTTCTTCCCCTACATCTCCCCCAGTTGTAGACAAAGACCGCTTGTATCTGAATCCCCTAAAAGCCTGGATTTCCTTCAAAACTCAGCTGAAGTCTTGCCACCTTCCAGTCCGAGTCTTTTCTAATTTCCTCAGCTCCTAGCGCTTCCATCCATCGCCCAGCCCCCAAATAAACTTGCATTGGTTTGTGGGATATCATAGTAATAGCTAACATACAGAGGAGATTTAAAGTTTGCAAAATGTTTTATCTTATTTTGTTCTTACAACTGTGGAATACAGGTGCTACTTATTATTCTCCATTTTATGGGAAACTGAGGCAGACAGCACTTAAGTGACTTGCCCAGGGTCAAATAGCTAGTAAGTATTTGAGGCCAGATTTGAACTCATAAGGGTAGTTAGGTGGTGAAGTGGCTAGAACACTGGGCCTGGAGTCAGGAAAACCCATCTTGCTGATTTCAAATCCAGACTCAAAGACACTTACTAGCTGTGTGACCCTGGACAGGTCACTTAACCCCATTTGTCTCAATTCCTCAAACGTAAAAATGAGCTGGAGAAGGAAATGGCAAAGCACTCCAGTATCTTTGCCAAGAAAACCTCAAAATGGGGTCACAAAGAGTTGGACATGACTGAAACAACTGAACAACAAATAAATGTTTATGTATGAATATATCTGTATATGCATACACACACATATAAAATCTGTCTAGAGAAACAAGATATATGTATACATCTATAGATGTGTATATATACACACATAGATGTGTATACATATACCTACGTGTATATGTATCACACATACATGTTGTTTCCCCAGATAAAATGGAACCTTCTTGAGGGCAGGAATTTTTTTATTCCTATGTTTATAGCCTCAGCACTTAAGCACTGTACCTGGCACATAGCAGGTACTTAATGAATAACTGAGTAATTGAGAACAAAGTCCCTAAAGAACCTGTATCATCATTTATGAAAATAAGATTCTGTCATGTTCAATGTCTCTTACTAAGAGGTGCATGCACACGTGGGGACACACACATGTACAAAATGAATTCATAAAATTAAAGATATTTCGACTTGGAAGAGACACTACAGAAAGATTCTCTACAGCAAGGGTTGAACCAAAAAGGATTTCTGGGTAGTGATCAGTTAACCAGAAATTTCATTCCACCAGAACACCCAACTCCCAAGCAGTCCAGTTGGTTGAGGTAGCCGTCACGCACAATCTGGATAGACTGGCACATGTTGGCACAGTATTCGTTAGCTCTTTGGGCCACTGCAGTGGACAGCCAGGCGGTGATCACTGCTCCTAACCCAGAGCACTCCCTTCGACTTTTACAATCATCCCTCAAGATCTGCTTTTCTAGGTGCCTAATCCCAGGCATGCTCTTATCTTGGCTAGAAAGACCAAGAAAACCTTCTGCCAGGAACTGATCCCTACCCCTCCCACTTTGCTTTCCTTTCCTTGTGAGATTTCTATGTGGGCTTGGTTTGTTTTTTCAAACCCACAAAAGAATGCCACGATGCACTTTTCAGCCTGCAAACAGGACAGAGCCCTGGGGTTGTGGCATGTAAGCGTTACAGACTCCAAACCACCATTTCCTCTGCCAATCTTTTCAGGAGAGAGCTCAGTCTAAGATAAAAAACCTACTTAAAGGATCCACATTCCCAGAGATATAACTAGGGTGGGTGACTGGAGCTTTTTTCTAGGATGTATATTTAAAAGGTGTTTTAAAACAATAATACTTTCAGTGCTTCAGCAGCATAGGAAAAGAGTTTTATGCCTAACTCATAAAATAATGAGTTAACATAGGAAGCTACCAGATGACCTGACTGCTATGAGTTCCTCACACCCTCACCCTCTGCACCTCTGCCCACTTCTCCATGTAGTGGCTTACCTAGCAGCAGCCTGGTAGGAGAGTTCTAGTGCCTCCCCACAGGGGTACATCTCCCTTTCCCCTTCAATGACCAAAGTGGGTTTCCTTAAATCTGAATCTGATCATGATAGTCCCTTACTCAGGAAACTCCAGTGGCTCCCTATTGCCCCTAGGATCACATAGAACCCCCTCTGCCTCCCTTTTAA